GATCCCCACCCAGAACACCCAGGTGGGCGGCACTGCGGCAGGGGCCCCGCCCGTCACTGGGGGACAGGAGGGCTCTGGGACCTGTCCCTCCAGGTGTCCCTGTGCATCAGGGCCTCGGGCACGGTGCTTCACCCCGAGCGCCCGGCACCGCCCTCTCCTGCCTGCCTGAGCCTCGTGAATGTGTCCTTGTCCGGGGACCGCCATCCAGGAATACGCTGACTGCTCTGAGCTGTTTATGTCCAGCCTGTGCACTGTCCTGCGGGCAGCATGGTGGGGGTGGGGGCTGGAAGTGCTGGCTCTGTGAACAGCTTCCCCCTCCTATTTGTCCCCAACGAGCCAGCAGCCGGGGAGGGAGTCTCGGGTGTGGAAGGTGTGGCTGGTGGTGGCGCCCTGGCCTCGCCTCTGTCTCTGTGGCTCTCAGTCCCTCCTGCCTCTCCCTCTTCCCGTGGACGCCAGGCACGCCAGGCAATGGAGAGAGAGTTCAACAACCTCTTGGCCTTGGGCACCGACCGGAAGCTGGATGATGTGAGTGCCGTCTGAACGGGGCCTGGTTGGTCATTGTTGGCTCAAGGTGCCCATGGAGACACCTGACCCCCACCCCGTTTCCTGAGGACACAGCCCACCCCCTCATGCTCCTGTCCCTGGCCTGCGTGCCCTGGCCTGTCATGTCTGCCTTAGCTCCTGGGCTCCAAGCCGGTTACAGGAGACCCCAGACCGCTTATCTGGCTTCTCCACCTTCACTCCGTCTGCTCTGAGGGCGCGTCCCCGCCCGAGGCCCCGAGGCCCCTGCTCACACTGCGATGTTCCAGAGCTTCCTTCCCGGGGCTGAGTGGGGAGGGCCTCGGCAGACAGGACCCACGCGGGCCGCCAGCACCAGCTGCACGGGGTGCCCTGGCGTTGGTGACACGCACAGGCACATACACACATGTGCAGTGTATGTGTGAGTTCCAGACACCACTCTCAGGGGTCTGATCTCCCCAGTGTCCTTCAGGGGTCCCTCCAGGGTGGTGGCTGCCTGGTGAGTACGTCCCACGATGACACAGGAGATGCCTGGGAGTCCTGGGGGGTCCCAGGCCCAGGGAAGATGACGTGTGCAGGGAGACAGTCCACCTGCGTGACGGACAGATTCCTCCAGAGGCCCCCCCCCCAGACAGTGTCCGTCAGGGAGCCTCCAGGGAGCCAGCCGAGCGCCCAGGAGGGAGGGAGGTGCAGCCGCTGTGTCCCTGCAGGGGGAGGACAAGGTGTTCCGCCGCGCGCCCTCCTGGAGGAAGCGGTTCCGGCCCCGGGACCTCTCGGCAGGCGTGCTCGGCGTGTCCCCGCTGGGGCCCCTGCAGCCCCCGCCGGCCCCGCCCAAGAAGGTCACGCCTGAAGGTGAGTGCCGCTGCCGCCTGGCTGCCTGCGCTGCACTGACCGCTGTGGCCGTGCCTGGGCGCCCAGCGCCGGCGCTCCTACTAACAGCCACCCTGTGTGTTCTCGGCTCCGCCTCTCCCAGCCGGGCCGGCCGGGGCGCAGAGGCCCGAGACCTCCACGGTGCGGACCTACACCTGCTGACCTCCGGTCTGGCCTGTGCCCGCGGCTCGGGGTAAGTGGGCCTGCCCGGCCGCTCGGCCTCGGCGCCCTCCTCGCCCTCCCGGCTGGCCCGCGGGCTCTGCTGCTTCTGGCCTGGTGCTCTGCTTGCTGGGGGTGCCCTCCACCGGCCTCTGCTCGAGGCACCGTCTTCCGCTAACGCCCCCCTCTCTCTCAGCGCACTCCCACTATCTCTACGGACACATGCTCTCTGCCTTCCGGGACTAGCCACGCCCCCAGGGCGCCACAGGCTCTGCCGCTGGACCCCTCCTGCTCGACCCCGTCCTCCCAGGCTCCCGGCTCTTCGCCGACTCTCCAGCCGCCCTGGATCTCAGAACATTCACCCACCCCTGGGCGTCCGCCACCCCAGGCCCCGCGTGTCCTCTGTCGTCTGATGTGGCGGGGCCTCTTGGAGTCATGCAGCCCCGGGTGGCGTGACTCCACCTCCCTCCTGGTCCTGGCCCCACCTGGACTCTGATCTCCAGGGGAGACCAGGGCACCGACCCTGGCCAGGCGACCTTCCCAGGAAAAGAGCACTCAGACTGCGTGTGGGCTCTGCCTCTGGTCCCTGTCCCTGTCCTGGCTCTGCCCGGTGGCATGGCTTCTGCTCCAGGACCCCTGGAGGCTGGGCGGCAGTGGCCTGTCCTGGTTGAGGCTGGGGAGGAAGCCAGGCCTGGCCTAAGCGGAACCCATGTGTGCATCTGAGAAGAGTCTGGGAGAAACGGGCTGCCTGTGTGTGTGTGTGCCCGTGCTAAGGGTCCAAGTGTGGAAACAGCCCCCCATCAGTGAGGTGCAGGTTGGCCCGTGGAGGAAGCCAGAGGGCGGGCAGAGGGATGCCTCCCGTCCAGGGTGGGGTGGAGCTGCTGGGGGGCAGGGAAAGGGTGTGGGGAGGGTCGGGACCTGCTGCCTTATCTCAGGGCAGGACAGAGACCACCCCAGGCACTGCCAGCCCTGCTCTGCACCTGCCCCTCGGCCCCTGCAGGAATCCCAGCCCATAGTGTGGAGGGAGTGTCGGTTTGGGGAGAAGGGAGGCTGAGGCTGCCTCTCCTCTCCTGGGAAGAACGTGAGGCTTCCCCCTGAGTCAGGCCCCAGGATGTGGGTGAAGGCGTCCCTCCACCCCTTCTCAGGGCTCTCTGGGTGTGCAGGGCCTGCCTCCTCCAGAAGTTTGTACCCAGCAGCATGTCACTCCCAGGAAACGGGAAGTGCGGGACCCATGTTCGGGATGTGGGTGGAACCCGGCTTCTCCAGGCGAGAGCAGAGGCAGGTGCGGGGCAGCCGGACCTGGCTCTGCGGGAGGCGGTGCTCGTGGGCAGTGCCAGACTCAGCACTTGGCACCATCTCAGGGTGACGTCCCCATGCTGGAGTGGGGGCTCCCCTGTGCCCTGCCCCTTCCCCACATCAGCCACTGCGGAGATGAGGGCAGGGAGGGAAAGCCCCTGTGCTGGGCTGATGGACAGGAAGGTCCTGGAGAGACCTCAGGCTCCGGTTGGTGGAGTGGGGGCCACAAGGCCATGTGACGGTCGGGATCCAATGAGCTGGTATGTGGGCGTGGCCACAGCCGTCCTCCACCTCACCCTCCCTGTGGCTGTGTCATAAGCGGCAGCTGGTGGGCCCTGGGTCCTTCAGGCATTGTGCAGTGTTTAGGGAGGTGATGGGGGCGAGACCGGTGGGTGATGAGGCTCCTGTCTGCTCATCAGGGAGGCTGATGCTCTGTGAGTGTATTTGCAGTCACGAGGCCTGAGCCCTCACAGCTTCCTGCCAGCCAGTCCCTCCTCAGCGCTGTGCCAGCTCAGTGCCTCAGAGGGGGTGCCTGGGTGTGTGTGCGCGTGTGCGTGCGTGTGCGTGCCCTGCCAATAAACAACCTGGTTTTACAACTTAAACATGGCTCCAGTCCTTTTCTAACACGTCTGCGTCCTCCAGGCCCAGGGCTCTGCTGGGCCAGAGAGCTGGTGGGCGGTAGCTTCCACTCTACAAACCCAGCCGGAGAGGGCGGTTTGGGCTGCTGGCGCCCGGGGGTGGGAGGGAGGGGCAGCCTGCCTGCTGCCATCCCTCTTGCCAGCCATGATCTCCTTCCAGGCTGATTCCCCAAAGTCTTATTCCCGACATTTGATTAACCCAGTTTGATTTATTGTAGGTGCTTCCACCGGAGACTGGGACTTAAAGTAATTTCCCTAAAGAACTGCCCTCATTACTCATTCATCCTTCTCGGGAATGTAATGGTGCAGACTGCGCTCTTGTTAATGTGGAAAGACCCTGGGCTCCGCCACCAGCGTGAGGCTGGCGGCGCCGCCGTCACTGTGCAGTCCCAGCTGCGTCCTCTGTGTGGGAAGCAAGGCAGGCGTGGCCACACCCGGCACGGTGGGAGCGGCCAGCCCTGGGCACCGCGGCTGAGGACGGCTCCTCCTCACCAGCGTATGAATATGAACCTCAGCTCCCAAATGACATGACAACTGAGGAGGAATAAACTAAAAATGTACCCAGCAACCCCAGAGCCCCCAGCTCCTGAACAGAGACGGAGGTCCCGCCGCCCAGCCCCAGCCCAGCCCCAGCCCAGCAGGGGCACCTGAAGGCAGTGGGCAGTGTCCCCAGGAGCCTGGAGGGTGCTGGGCAGAGGCACTGGGCCTGAGCCGCCCTCCTGTCCAAGGCCAGTGAGTCAGGGAGGGACCCAGGTGCTCCCTGCACCTTCCCGAGGGCAAGAGGCAACAGGATGCAAACAAGGGGGAAACCCCATGTGGTTGGCCCAGCCTGTGATTCCCAGCAGGCCTGGCCCTCGCCCTCGCCCTCACCCTGGCCCTCGCCCTCACCCTAGCCCTCGCCCAGGGCCCTCGCCCGCCTGCCTCCTCTGTTTTTCTTCTAGCGCAGAGTTTCTGGCACACCCTGGGGGGCTGCACTCGGGTTCCCATCTTCAGGAGCAAGTCTGGAGGGTTGAGCCAGGGCCTGCTCAGCAACTGGGATCCCCCCCTTAAGGGCCCCAGAGAACTGAGTTGGCCTGGAGGATACCACGCTCAGACTCCTGACGTCTGTCATGATTCTGAAACTTATAATTTGCAATAAATCAAACAGCCCGAAGCAGTTGGAATTAATAACATTTTTAGTGGATGCTCATGGTCCATGGGAATTCTAGCTCCTGATGCCTCCCCAGTTGATCCTTGTGTCACGTGTCCAGTCCTTGTTCCCCTCAGGAAGCCAGACTGAAAAGCAGCAGCCAGGCCCCGCTTCCCTTCCCATGTGGTTCTCGGGGAGTCCCCATGCACTCCCCCCAACTGCTGAATCTCCCTCCTCCAGGCTGCAGGCCAGGCCACCGTCCCCTCTGCCCGGATGATGGACAACGGCAGGGCGCAGTGGGGTTCCATCCTCTCCCACATCCCTACGGGCTCCTGGCAATGCCACACCAGAGGAGAGGCAGGGATTAGGGAGGGAAACCCACAAATCCCAGCTGCACCCCGCCGGGCTGAGCGCCAGGCCTGTGCTCGGTTCATTGGAGGACCTGGAGGGCGATGATGAGTGCACGGTGTGAATTAGAGGGTGCCGGGCCTCAGCTGTGGGCCAACCTGGCTTCCAGGGGTGGGGCTCATTCCCAATCCTGGGCATGTCTGGACTGAGGGGGGCAGGAGCGGCAGGCACCCCTCTGTCTACATCATCACGGACATCTAGCACCCAGTGTTTATTCATTTTTTTAAAAAAGGAAATCCAAATAAGTTAGCAAAAAAAAAAAAAAATTACAAAACAATAGCAAAACCACACAACGCTTAGTTATCAAAGGAAGTCACCCCAGGAGCCCCCCCCTCCCCCTATCCTGTCCCGGGCACCTCGGCACGGGACCCCTTGGTCAGATGGCAGCGTCACAAACAGCACGCAGAGCAAACAGCGGAGGCCTGGGAGCTCCCAGTGTTCACACAGAAGCTTGGCCCCGGGGACGGGGGACGGGGCCCCTCCTCCGGCTCCCGGGTCAGGGCAGGCCCAGCCCGGCCGCTGCCTCAGGAAGAGCCGACGAGGCGCTCCGTGTGTCCGGGTCAGGACCCTCGGTCGCTCAGATGGGATTGGGGGGGGGGGGAGTGGAAGGCTGAGTTAAAATCGAAGGGAAGCTCCTGAGTTTGCCCCTGAAGGGCCCCCCAGGCGCTCTGGTCCCCTGCTCTGTCTCCCTGGACCCGGATGGCCCTGAGCTCTGAGCTGTCAGCGAGTGAGGGTGCCCACGCCCTCTCTGAATGGCGGCTTAACCTTCGACAGGCCAGGAGGGGGCAGGCTGGCCCCGGGCCTCAGGACAGCCTGGCGTAGGCGGCATCCGTGGCCGGCCTGTGGGCCGCCGGCCGCAGACCGTCTCAGTTGGGCAGGGCTTCGTCCGGGAAGGCCACAGAGACGTCCCCCATGGTGATGCTGTCCACGATGGAGGTGAGCGAGTGCAGGTTGTGGGCGTCGGCAGGGTCCGCCGGGAGCAGGTGGTCTGTGGGGAGAAGGTGGGCGGGGTCACCTGCCACAGGCGTCCCCAGCTCAGTGCTGCTGCCAGCGGCACATGTGGTGGGTGCCTCCTCCCAGCTCCCCCTGGGGCTGGACTGGGGGTGGGAGCAGCTATTCTGGGTAGAGGGAGGTGGACCCGGGTGGTGTGTCCTGGGAGACGCCCTGGTCTTGCTGGCCTTAGGCAGCACTGGCTCAGGGACTCCCAGTGACCCCTGGGGCAGGGACAGTGTCCTCCCCACGGGGAAGGTCAGCCACGGGCCACCAGGCACCAGCTGAAAGCTGCAGGAGGCCGGCCTCTCGCTGGCCAAGGCTTTAGTCCACTCTGCAGAGGCCCAGGGGAAGAGCCAGGGGCAGGGGATAAGGAAAGAGGGGCTCTCTGGGCTGGACAAGACTGAGGGGTCTGAGCCACGCTGACCAAGGCTCCACCACACTTACCCCCTGGGTTGGGGCCGAACTCCAGGGCGCTGCCCCACTCTGGACTGCAGGAGGCGCTGTGGGAGCTGCATTCGCTGGGAACCTGCTGGACACCGAGGCCCAAGGTCAGGCACAGCCGTCTCGGTGGCGCCCTCTGTCCAGTCCCCGGGGCAGAAGCTCCTGGGCCGAGGTTACCCCTCCAGCAGGTCACCCTTCGTCCGAGGAGCATCACAATTCGCCCCTCCCTCCTCCCTTCCCACCCCTCCCCCCAGCTCCCAGGCCTTTCCTGGCTTCCATCTGGGTGGACAAGACACCAGCTTAAAGGGCGCCTGGTTTTCCTGACCCTGAGAGCCAGATGTCCAGCCCAGCAGGGGCCCCTGGGGCAGGAACAGTGTCCTCCCTGTGCCAGTGCTGGGGTACCAGCTGGGGTAGGGGGGTGGGGGGTAGAGCTGTCCATCCCAGTCAACACCCCACTGACTCTGGACTTGTTCCCTGACTCCTCCTTTGGACCCCTGACCCCCCCTCCCCACATCTCTGCTTGTCCTGCTGCCTCTGTCCCATCTGGGAAGGACACAGGACACAGGATGGGCCCGAGGCTGCGCCCCCCCCCCCGGGGGGGCAGGCGGGCAACCACTTACCCCGGCCTGGGGCCCGCCCCGCGGGCAGCGCAGCCCGCGCTCCTCCTGGCGGAGGGAGCTGAGCAGGGCCTGCAGGCGCTCGATGTACTGGATGGCGCTGCGCAGGATCTCCACCTTGGGCAGCCGCTGGTTGGGGTTGAGCAGGGTGCTGCGCTTGAGCGCCTCGAAGGCCTCGTTCACCTTCTTGAGCCGACGCTTCTCCCGCAGCGTGGCCGCCCGCCGCCGGTCCACGGACACCGACTTCCGCTTGCACGCCTTGCACGCCCACGGCAGGCACTGGCCCGGGCAGTGCTCGGGGGTCCCCAGGCCCTTGTCGTAGAGGGGCCCCCGGGCCTCGGGGCTCAGGCCGAGCTCGGCGTGCTCGTAGCTGGGCGGCTCGAAGCCCTGGAGGTGGGCGGGCAGGTAGTTCTCTCCGTCGAAGAAGTGGGGCTCCTGGTAGAAGTAGGGGGGCGTCTCGTACAGCTCCATGGGGTCGGAAGAAGCTGGTTCCTGCCACCGGCCCCCGAGCTCCCGCAGCCCCTCACGCCAACTGCTGGGTGCCATTTAAACCCTCCCCGCTGGCACGGAACCAGAGATAAATATAGCCAACACCACGGAAACCTGAGCCCCCTCTAAGCTGTTGCTGCACATCAAGACGTTCACAGTGGATTAGACGTGACCCCCCCCCCCCCTGCCCGCCCGCCCCGGCCTCCACCCACCCACCCAGCCTGCCTGCCTGCCCCGGCCAGCCCTGGGCTCCTGGCCCTGGAGGGAGGCATCGGCTGTAATTTGATTAGTTTTCATTTCTCGGCGCCCCCCCTGGGCCGGCAGGGGAGGTGGGGAACATTCTCATCTGCTCCTTTCAATTACTCCTGGCAGGGGCCTGCCTGCCCCTGTGGCTGGTCCCAAAGAGCCAGGGCGGGGACCGACGGGGTGGGCTTCGGCTGGAAGGGGTCCTACGTCAATTCATCGCCTGCTTCCTGGCAGCCCCGAGAGCCGCGGCCAGACAGGAGTCCCTCCCAGAGGGCAGGCTGCTGCCCGTCTGGCAGGCGTGTCCGGGGGCGAGAAGGGCCGGTCGAAGGGCCACTTGGCCTGCCCCTCTGGTCTCCACAGCAGCCTTGGCCGTGTCTCCCAGGGCCCAGTTATGGGGTACCTGGAGGGAAGAGGAACTCGGCGTCTGTGGCATGGCCAGTGGGAGCCTAGAACACGCTGGTCAGGTTGCCACCCTCCAGCTGTGGAAAGTCAGGTCTGGGGGACCCTGCCTCTCCGCCCTCCCTCCCCCTGAATCCTCCTACGTCGTGTCCTCCAGTCTGTTTCTGCCCCAGTCGGACCCGAGGTTTCCCCGAGTCCTCTCCATCGTGGTGGGGGGGTGGGGGGGCAGAGCCCCTCCACACAATTTAAATCTCCTGGCTCCTGGCCTCCTGGCTGGCTCTGCCTCTTCCTGTCTGAGTCTTCATGGCCACCGTCCTGCAGGTCTCTCTCGAATGCGAGTGCAGGAGGGACTGGCTCACCCCTGGGCCTCTCAGTGCGGGGTCCCCTCTTAGCAGAGGCCTTGGGTCAGAGAGGACCCGTGCTGCCGTCCAGTGGGGGCGGGAGTGGACAAGGCCCACGTTAGGGCTACAGGGTTACTACACGCGAACCCTAGGGGCCCTTAGAACAGGAGGGATGCTGGAGTTACTATGGAAACCCAGAAATGGCATCGTTCTGTCCTTCTGGGACCCCACGGGCCTTGTCTCTCCGGTCAGCGTGTCCATGTCCTGGAGGAAGGGCAGCGGGAGGACCCGGCCGGCCTCCCGGGATCTCACGCGCTAGCTGCTGCGCCGGCCGGAGCGGGGAGGTCCCGTTACAGAGCCAGGTCCCGGCCCCCGTGAGCGTGGCGCTGCCGCCGTGTGCACGAGTGGGTTCCTCGAGCAGGTGTGTCGGAGTTTGCAGAGAGTCTGCGTCGGCTGTGGGAGGAGGAGAGCAGCGTTGGGACAGGAGGTCACGCAGGGTCCAGGCGAGAGGCGGAGGGGACGGGGGACGGGTTGGTGGAGCTCGGGGTTTGGGACAAGCCTGCAGAGAAGGGGGCGCCCAGCAATGATGGGGGGACTTGGAAGTCAGGCAGGGGCACCCATGGGAGAGGACGGCCGGCCTTCGGGAGCGAGGCGCGAGGTCCTGGGGTAGAACGGCCAGCTTAGAGGCAGGAGGATGCGTGGACGGGGAGGATGGGCGTGTCCGCTGGCAAAGGCTGGTGCGTGCGTGTGTGTGTGTGTGTGTGTGTGTGTGTGTGTGTACGCACCGGGCCCATGGATGCACCTCCTCCCCACCTGGCCTCCCTGAGGCCGTGTCCCCGGCTCCCCGCGCAGCCTCCCGGGAGCCAGAGCACCAGGAACAAGGGAGGGACACCTCCTGCTCGCCGGGGACAGAGGTATTCGTTACTCTGTCCGTCAAGAAACAGGTCTGGCCCATGTGTGCTGGGCGCCGGGGCCGGAGGCGTGAGGAAGACGTGAACAGGCCTGTAACCCTCACCACCTTCTGCACACAGTGTGCTCACCGAGGTAGGCAATGAGCAGTGATAGCACCGAGGGTGGTGTGGCCCCAGGGAGGGGTGGTGTGGCCCCGGGGAGGGGTGGTGTGGCCTGGGGGAGGGTGGTGTGGCCCCAGGGAGGGTGGTGTGGCCTGGGGGAGGGTGGTGTGGCCCCGGGAAGGGTGGTGTGGCCCCGGGGAGGGTGGTGTGGCCCCGGGAAGGGTGGTGTGGCCCCGGGGAGGGGTGGTGTGGCCCCGGGGAGGGGTGGTGTGGCCTGGGGGAGGGTGGTGTGGCCCCGGGGAGGGTGGTGTGGCCTGGGGGAGGGTGGTGTGGCCCCGGGAAGGGTGGTGTGGCCTGGGGGAGGGTGGTGTGGCCCTGGGGAGGGTGGTGTGGCCTGGGGGAGGGTGGTGTGGCCCCGGGGAGGGTGGTGTGGCCGTGGGGAGGGGTGGTGTGGCATGGGGGAGGGTGGTGTGGCCCCGGGGAGGGTGGTGTGGCCCTGGGGAGGGTGGTGTGACCCTGGGAGGGATGCTGTGTCTCTGTGACTCCGTGTGCAGACGTGTTTGTGTGTCTGTCAGTCAGTGGCTGGGGACCTGCCCTGGCCCCGCTCTGGGGCCCTCGCCCTCCCAGGACTCGGAAGATAGGGCAGCTCGGGTGTCTCTGACATCAACCCCCGAAAGGGGTGCTGTCCCTTCATCCACCTTGCTCCTCTTGGAGCCGTGATGCAGGGAAGCGGCACCTGGAGACCTGGCCTCCCTCCCCTGGCACCCCCCCCCAAGCCGCCCTCTGATGGACAGGAACACATTGGGGCCACCACAGAGCGTCTTTGTGCTCCCAGCAGTGGAGATCCATCAGCTGCGACCTGACAGCGGGGCGTCAGGCCCTAATCCCCACCCACTGGCCTGGGCACAGAGGCCCCTCCAGAGGCAGCCCTCGCCCCACCACCGTCCCAGCGTGACCGCTCCTCCCTGCGCACCTGGCTGGCCTCGTTTGCATGGTCCCGGAAACCCCCTTCACCTGCTCCCTTCTCCCTGCTCCCTGCTCCCTCTCCCCCTCGGCTCCCCAGCATCTCCCAGGCCCAGCTGGCCTCGCAGGTGGGCGGCCTGGGCTGCCAGGCTGATGGGCTAACACCCGACCAGGTTCCCGGTTCAGAGCCTCAGGTGCTGGGAATCGGGGAGGGAGAGCCTTTGGCTTCCGCAGAGATGGCTGAGTCTCTGTTCTCCGTGCTGGGTTCCTCGTTGGGCCCAGGCTGGGGCCCCAGCAGCCAGAACAATGGGTGCTGACCAGCACCAGCTCTCGGGAGGGGAAGGGAGGGGGAAGCGCTGGAGGGGAGGGCCTGGAGGGACGGCTCACACTGTGTCCTTTTCCTCTGAGGACAAGCCTCAGATCACCCTGGGAAGTCCCTCCCGCCAGAGTCGGCCCAGCGCCAGGTCCCTCAGCGCCAGGGCACTCGCCAAGAATCTCTGGCCTCTGCTGGGCGGGCGAGGGCGAGGCCTGGAGGGACGGGAGGGTCCGGGGACGGGTCCGAGGAGGTGCTTGGTGGTCACAGAGCCTGACGGGCCTGCAGGGTGTGGGCGGTGTGCACCTGGGCCTTGGGGGTGGGGAGGGGTTCGAGTTCCGAGTGGTTCCCGGAGCTGGGCCCTCAGGAAGGGAAGACCTTGGAGGGAGCCCTGGACTGGAAGTGAGGGCGCGGCTGCCCTCCTCCTCCCCGCTCCCCCGGGTGTGAGGCAGGTGCTGAGTGAGTGGCCCTGAAGCCTGTGGCCTGCAGGGCGCTCACGCTCGGGCAGCAGGGCCGCTCGGAGAGGCCGTGAGGCCGGCCGCACCCTGAGGAGTGGACTCGGGGGTCAGTGCGGACCGAGCACCTGGGCGGTTCTTCTTTCCTGTCGCCGCCTCCGCCCCCACGCTCAGTCTCACCAGAGGCCACTGGATGGCTCCCTGGAGCCGGGCCAGCCCACCTAGGCCTGGCATCCCTGTCCTACTTACCACGGCCTCCGCCCTCCTGCCCCCTCCCTTCCGCCCCCCTCCTGCCCTCCTTGGGGCTCAGAAGGCCTGTGGGCCATACCCCCTCCCACTCCCTGGGCAGCTTCTATTTCTGCCTCTTTGACAAGTTGTGACATATTTGGGAGCAGCTGCTGCCGGGGTGGAGGTGCCTCGCTTTCCTCCGGCTCTGTCTTCTCCTCCCCAAGCCTATCCCACAGCCCCCCCCCCCCATGTGCTGGGGGACCCTCCCTGCATTCCCCTCCCGGGACCGCGGATGGCCAGCCCCGCCCTGGCCTGGAAAGACAGGTGGCCTCATGCAGCCCAGGACTGACCGCCTCTGTGTCAGAGGCTCATCTCTTCCCCCTCAGGGCTTCATATTTCCGTCTCCAAATGGTGACAAACTGTCTCCCCAGGGGCCGTAGCTAGTTGTGCTGCCTGTTAACTGCAGGGGCTTGGAGCTCCTCTCGTCTCAAGGACTTGATTCCATGTCCCTCTTCCCCCCAAGAATCTCTAACCTCGCCGTCTCTGCCGGCCTGCAGTCACTCCACCCAAAACCCCCTTTTCCGAGGCGTCCTGGGTGATGGCTCTGTGCCAGCCGTTCCTTCGTCACCATGTCTGGACGGGGACGTCACACTCTCACTGTCTGCCCTCTGCCTCGGCCTTCCCTGGCACAGACCCTCGGCAGGTGCGGCGCAGGCGACGGCTCTGTGTCCGTCTCATGGTTGGTCTGCCGGCCACGGTCCCCTGGGCTCCGCTCTCCCAGCTCCTGCCAACCTGCACCCTCCCGGCCCCTGTCTGGGTTTCCTCCTCGTCCTCCTTGCTTCCCTCTGCCTCCCTCCCTCCTCTGCCTCCCCCAGGAGGGACCTCTTCTCTGCACCCGGGGGCCCCGTTCTCCCGAGGGTGCACCCTGCGTGGGTCAATGCTGGCTGCTCTGTGCGTGGCTCCTCAAGGAACGACTCCCAAATCCGTTCTCTCTGCCCCGAGTGGCCGACCACATGCCAAGGTCAGGGCACGCGCGCTTCCATCAAGCACGTCTGACCGGGATCCGCGCTGCCCCATTCCCGTGTCCGCTGTGACTCATGCGCCCACTCAGCCATTCCTGGCATGGCTTCACTGCCTTCCCCGAGGTCCTCCTTTGTCTGTCTGTCCCCAGCCT